GAAACTGCCGGGGAGGTTATGGACACGAACACCCAGTATGCTACCCAATTGCAGCCATTCCAGGCGGCCGACCAGAACCTCTTCCAGATGACACGCAATATGATAGAGAACTTGGGAGTCACCGACCGCGACACCCTCGATCGACTGGCCGAGATTCTCGACTCGTGCGCGTCTTCTACTCGGACTGCCAAGCTCGAGCGGTCGGCCATGGTCGATCTGCGCGATTCGCTCGTCAAATTTGACGAGGAGAGCACCAGAGTAGTTTTCAATAAAAAGGAGGCGCCCGCTGTCGGTTTCTCGTCTTTCCTAGAGCACTCTAAGCCCGGATCTCAGAATAAGCGCGAGACGCCCGCGTTCCACGAGACCAAGGGCCTAAAGGCTTTCGTCCAAACCGTCAACGAAAACTGGATAGGAATCCAAGACGTTGCTTTCGAGTGGGTCAAGCACGTTTGCCCGACTTACCTCACGAGCAAGTGGCCGGATTCCATGAAGACCGCAGTTGTCCAAGTCATCAGCCATCTCGACGAAGATATCTGGAGACGCGTGCAGTACGAACTGAGATATCACGCCGCGTCCGAAGATCCGGCCACGACGTTGGCGACGATCGACGAGATAGTTCAGATGTTGTTTGAGCTGCACCTGGATGTGTACGAACGGATCACCAACCCCAACAGCGCCGTAGAATACGCAATTCGCGTGGAGACCAAAGGAAGGCTGGGACGCTGGTTCACGTTTGCTTCGCAGATGAGTCGGGATCGCCCGGAAAGCGCCGACCGTCTGCTGTCCGTCCGATTCTTATGGTCCGCCGTCTTCGCCGTCACCCTGACGGAAGGCGCGTCGAGAGACCACGTTCTTCAGTGCTGGAAGAGCCTCCGCGATAGGATCGGCGAGGAAGACGAGCCTTTTGACATTCGGCTGCCGAACAATGCGATCATGCCGGAAGTTTCCGCCCGCGCAGCCGACAGGGAAATATCTAAGCTGACGACTAGGGATTTTTTCCTCGGGCTATTCCAGAACGACCTCGACGACCCCGTATCTGTCATCGAGAGCCTGGAGCCGGTGTTGAATCCCTCTTCCGTCTACGTGGCAACGAACGATCCCGAAGCCATGTTGGTCGACGGAGATTCCGAGGCGCCGGCGGCTACCGGCAAGAATCTACCCATCTCGGAGGCTGCGGATCAGGGTCTGCGCGATCTCTGGAAATTTCTGCTGGGGGCGAGCACCGAACTAAGACTGTTCTTGTGGACACGCCTCGGGGAAGCCTATAACGCCATCGACTACACGACGAAACAATTTTCGTGCCTTCTCAAAAGTATCGAGATGGTCGTCGCCGATTTCGAGCAGGACCCTTACTTGACTATGCCCGCCGACGCGCGCCGTCCTCTCTTCTTGAACATGCTCAAGTTTCTAGACGAACTGCTCATCCAGGCTCTTTCGATGGCGCTCAACGATGTCAAAGCGTTCGACATCGTGGACGAGGAGCACCTAAGATCTAGCATTTCCGCCTTGACGAAGCTTTCCTGCCTGCTACACGTATCTTGCATGTACGAAGACGAAGTGCGCGTAGGCATGAAGCAGCACCTTTCGAGCGGCGCCACCTTCCAATCTTTCTTGACCAAGCTTCGCGAGATGCAGGTTAGGAACTGGTCTCTTCTGTATACGATGATGAAAGCCGGCATCTCGCAGAACAGGGCGGGCTTTACCACTCCCGATAACGACCTCGCGGATTATCTGGCGGCCATCCACCAGGTCTTGGGCCTCAGAAAATTCTGCAAAGCGTCCAACAAGATATTCCTCAAGATGATGCGCGTAGAACTCTTGAAGCAGAATCTCATAGACAACTGGGAGGATTATCTCGGACAGGTCCTTTACGATCTCTACGGCCTGAAACTCGGAGTAGGCCTCAGCGAAGTACAAGACCACGGGTGCCCCCCGGAAAAGCTCGAACGGCGAAACACGACGGCGCTAGTCGAGAGGGTATCCGTCTTGGCCAACCGCATGCCGATGAAAGATTTGCTGAAGTCGGATCTCAAAACGACGATAGAGCACATGCAGCAGGCTATAGGGCAGACCAAGTCGAACCAGCAATTCATACAAAATCTCAGGATCTTTAACCAAACTTTACAAAGACCTATCCCTCCCCTTCGCCTATACGAAGCGCTCAAGGGCAATATTTCCATCGACGCGGTTACGGTCAACACTCCGGATAGCGCCCTAGCCAAGCACGGATGGTTCTTCCTCTTGGGCATGATCGCCTTCACCAAGTTCAAAGGCGTAGATCTTAATAGGAGGCAGACGCCAGGCGCTACTGACGACCTTCGCATCGGCGCCACGTTTCTACGCCAGCAGCTACAGTTCACTCCCGATCAGTGGGATGCTTGGTTCAGACTTGCAGAGTGTTTCGACTACGAGCTCGACGAGTCCGTGCTCTGGACGGCAGATAAGATGAACAAAGAGAGGGCCGAACTGGTAAAGTACCAGCGCAGCGCGATCCACTGTTATACTCTGGCGCTGTCGCAGTCCCGGAACACGCCGCCCGACGCGCTCAGGGAACGTTCCGACGACATACACGACCTGTATCACAAATTCGGCATGCGCATGTACGCCTCCAGCCGAGAACCCTTTGCGATGGAGCCCTTCCTCCACTCGGAGCACAAAAGATTCGTTATTCTCGAATCCGGCGTCGAGTCCAAGGATCTTCATTCTCAGATGGAAGACTACAAAGTATGGAAGTACGCTGCTAGATTATTCGCCAAAGCCATGGAGGTCAGACCAAAGCAGTGGCAGTAAGTATGCCTCGACCGCCGAATAGATTAGATCGTCGGGCTAATTGTTTTTTTTTTCTTTCGCAGGAATCCGTACATGGTGGCCAAGTGCACCTGGAAGATGTATCAGAAACCCCCGACGTCGCTCGACCACAGAGACAGACGAGACCGGCCTACTATGCGAGCCGTTATAGACGCGCTCGAAAAGGCCATCGAGGTCGTGTCCGCGCTGCCAAAGCCGCGTCACGGCCAAGACCCGATCTTGGAGCCCCATTATAAGATCGTGTCGATCATGCATAAGCTGGTGATGCGAGGAGATATAACGCCGCAAGAAGCAGCCGACGTGCTCCAACGTCAACCGTACGCAGTCCAAGACGGGGAACCCGTCGAGATCGCGGAGCCGGAAGACTGGGAGCCGTACGTCATCAAAACGCTAACCCACCTGCGGGAGAAGGACAGATCGAACTGGCAACATCGCATCATCATGCGCCACGCCCGAATACTGTTCGACGAGAACTCGGAAGAGCAGGGCTACGTTCAGGCGATGGCCGCCTTTGGCGTGCTGAGGGAATCGATGCTCACCAAGACCATGGTGATGAACGTATGGAAATGCGACGCCGAGCGGCCAGGTCGGCATCACGTCTACACGGAACAATACGTCCGGTTTGCCGTCAAGCTCTTAGTCGTCCTGAAGGACAGGACGAACTTTGAGGCTCTGCTTCGCCGTTTGCGCAAGAAGGGGGCAGACTTTTATCATTTCAACGATCTCTGGCAGACTTGCTGCGTCGCGTATTTGCGACTTATCCGGCAGACGTATCAGATCTCCCCGGTCCTCGAGGATGATTTTAAGCCGATCAGCCCCGACGAGTTCGATATTATTACCTCCAGGATTAGCGAATGGTCGTCGGACCCGTCTTCCTCCCACCCCGCGCTCAGCGCTTTGCAAGAGACGATAGAGCTGAAAAAGCTCAACGCGGGCTTGATGAAGGCCGGCGCCATAGACGACCTAGTTAACGACTGCTATACGGCGCTGTATTTCGAGATTGGAAAGTCGCTACCGGGCCCTGCCGTGGCTACTCTAATCGCGGAGCGGGAACAGGCACGTATACGGGAAGAATCTCGAGCGTCTGATAAAGCAGCAGAATCCAAGCCGGCGAACTCGTTAAGCAGCCTCTTGAACCCGCAATCGCACGAGAACTCGGGCGGAGAGGGCGCAGCCGGGGATTTGGCGTCGGCGAATACGGAAGGGCCACAGAAACCCCGCAAAATAGGAATAAGGAGAGCTGATATTCTACGCAAGGCGGAACAGGCAGTCGTGCGCGCCCAAGAAGGTCCGAAGCCCAACGGTACCAAATCGCGAGGTTCCGTCTCGAGCAGCAAGACGCCCGCGGCCGAAGAAGGAAAACAAGACGACGCGGCCGACGACTCGAGAAGCGACGACGGCGCGCTGGACGAGGATGTGGAGATGAAGGACGAAGAGGCCGAGGGCGACTTGAGCTCGGTACCGGGAAGCGTTCACGATTCGGCCGACGACGAGAGCGATCTGAGCGACGCTCCGCCGGAAGACGTGCTGGACGAGGACGAGCTTCGGCAGCTAATGTTTCCGAACTTGACTAGGAGGAGCATGGATACGACGATAGGTAATTCCGACAGCGAGGAGTCCCGCGACGAGGATTCTTCCGACGAGGCCCAAGAAGCCGAAGAGTAGGCCGCCTTAGATTATAGGTCAAGGTGCTTTATGTGTATTATATGTTACCCATAAAATCTCATTGAAAGATGCTGCATTCCACGTGGGAATGCGTCTCGATTGACCTGCGGTTATTTATCTGGGCATCAGAGTTGACCAATATTTTCCAACGCAGTTACACGATATCTTCAACTTTTAGTTCAAGACAAATTATCGTAACCTCCAGCAATACGATTACATATGCCTATTTTATAACCCGTCTGTCAGGATTCATCTTGCTAGCTACTGCCGCGTATCTCCCAGTAATTGCGATATCATTGAGCAGTGGATATTGACTATCCTGGAATCTTTTGCCTGATATCGCACTGCTGTCGCACAACCGGAATAGGCGACATGGAGTACATCTCCCCCTGGTTTGGCCATCACCATAGGTTCAAGGTTCAAGAGTTGTGTTCAATATGAATATTGAATATAACTCTTGGCCTTATTTACGTAGTCTTACATTCTTTGAGTGAGCAAATCTACGATAATGACAGCATAAACACGATCATCGGAACCGTAGAGTTGCAGGGTCTTTCTTAAACCAAACTAATTTAATGCTACTTGAAATAATATTTACCTCGCAAAAGTTGCGAATAACCAAAACAGCCGGTTTAACACTTCATATATACAGCTTAAACATGTTAGCGTCGTTCGCACCTCGGCAGGTTTAGTATCTTACCGTTGGAATAAAGCGAGTAAGTGTCTGCGTTGAGCAGCGCATATTCAGGCGATAACGTCATGCTCTCGTTATACCCGTATACGTAATCGTTGGTGTGCGGGCTATATACGTCTTCGCAGTGCGTCATCTCGTGTATCGTGGTCGTGGCCTGGCACTGGCGATGGCAGCCTCGGGGCAGCGGAGGAAGCGTGTCGTAGAACAGCGGGCACATAACGACGTAATCAAAATCCCACTTGGTGTACGCGTTCAGAGGCCCGTCCGTCTCGCACACGCCGTAGTAGTCGTAGCAAAAATACCGCGACGGTCCCGAATCGGTCGTCGAACACTCTTTTGCCGCCGCCGTCAGCCTGTCGACGACGGTCTGCCGCGTGGTCGACGAGTTGGTCTTGAAATACTCGACAAACCGAGAGGACGACGGGTCTGCGGCGTCGGCCGCGGCCGCCAGAGCTAGGGTTCTGCAGTTGGCGAGGGCTGCGGTGCTGGCGGCTAGCTGCGTGGCGTTGCAGCCGTCTTGTACGTTCGTCCGCGCTTCGAGAGGGTTCAAGCTCAGAAGCTTAGGGACGGCCGCGGCACTTTGAGCATCGACGTGGAGACTTATGCTGTTAGAACGGATCAATATCGCCGGGCCGGACAGCTCGGTAGATCCGGCCGCCGCCACCGGCATCAACCCCGTGGCCCTGAACGTATAAGTTCCGGATTTTTCGAACTTGTGTACGGTAGCAGCTTTGATAACCGTGTCGAGGGACTCGGACGCTCTCAGCAGGCGAAAGTTCTTCGCCGTAAGAGCATCGTACCGAATGCTCGCGTGGATCCCCCTGAAAGGAGCCTCGGCGCCTATGAATCGTCACTATTAGCATCGCCTATACTTCGTCGCCCTGGATTTGCGGGCCGAGGTACCTGACTCGTCTACGACGGATACTTTTTCGACCGGCAATACTTCGTCGAGAAGAGTACCAACTCGTAGCAGATTAAGGTCCTCGGAGCCGACGTTTTTGATGGTGGCGATCAACTCGGCAGCCTCGCCCGTCGGCGAAGGAGTCAGGGTAATCTCCAAAACCGAAGCCTGCCCGTCGTGTATAGGCTTTAGGACGTGGGCAGTCGCCGTCGCGGTTAGACTAGCTACGGCTAGGAGAATCTCGGTAACCCTCATCGTGACAAGCTGAACAGTGCTCCTGGTCCTCCAAAACCAACTGCTAAGAAGCTTTCTTATCAAGCATCTGCGCCGTACATCGTTTTTATATTCGATCGATTTTCTCGGTTTTGTTTTGATTCCTTAGTCTCCCAAATGAGGATTCTTCGCCGAGTGGAGAAAACCTCGTATTCGGTGCTGGGGTGTTTGGCTGCGACGCTGCAAGGAACCTGGACCGCTGCGTATCCAAATTGATATACGAGAGATGCCACGGCAATGTATCAACACGAGCAATGCTTTTATAGGAAGCCGTGCGTGTCAATAGCATTGTTGACTTTAACGACGAATCATCTCGATAATAAGTCGACTATTGCAACTTGCCAAAATATCGAAGACGTGGATATATCAAGATTAGAGGTTAATGCATAATAGTCTAATGGAGTTCTCCTAACTACTTAGGTAGTTGGGTGAGTTCATAAATACCTCGTGCGTATATACGTTTGTGTTAACTGGTGTTAAAGATATCCAGACGAGAAGATGGGCGGGCATAGTCTTAGCAATATAGCCTGTTTAAGACGCTCGGCCAAATATTCGTAGCTGGCTTTGGCGCCTCTCCGTCGAAGAACTGGCAAACGCTAATAGGGCGAGCTCGTATAACCTCGTTCGAATTATTCCCATCGAAGCAAAGGTTCACGACGGTAATGTACACGGGGCGCAGTCGCATATCTAGGCCCGCCGAGAAAATGAATGTCCGCAAGGGGAATAGTCACATCCGGGTCAGCGTCCTCGGAGACGAGTGTTTTCTGCAGGAAGATATATAACTCTATAGAATGTCGTTGGAAAAGAGGACGATGTCCCGTAGCAAGGGATATGCTAAGATCGGCTCTATCATATTAATGCTCAACACTCGCAACGTAGACAATTGAGGTCTGATTCGCCGTATGATATGATTTTGGTCTGCAGTTGCTTATCTCTAAAATGCGGAAATCCCCCTCGTAATGTAACCATCTGGTGTAGACCCTTGATATGTCTTGATGGTCTTCCATAACAGCCGATGCCATTATTGAGCCCGCAACTACCGATATGGTCGAGTCGCAAATCGATAGTTTATTCACAACTTGCTAAGCACTCCCAGATTAATCCTTTCGACGAAATGGGCTAGGGCCGTTATATTGGGTTCCTTTTGCGCTCGAATCGACTCTTGGTATCGTTGCTGTTCGGTTTATCTAAAGGGGGAACGTGTTGCCTTAGAGTTACGCGCCCAGTTTCCTAAAGCCAACATCCAGGTATGGCCTCTGGATATCAAATCGTATGATGACATTCGAACGCTAACCTGCCGAGCTCATTTAGAGCTTCTTCGCTTGATATCGCGACTGGTCACGAGAGGTTAGCTCAGGTAAACTTTCTACCATGCTGCTGGCTATTCTCCTTCTAATCCCGAAGATTAAGTTGTCTTTAGGCCAACCAGGTCGACTTGCTATTGTCAACTCGAGCACCGCACGCGATGCCAAGATCTCCAAACCTCAATCATATCTGTCTTTGATAAATCTCGACCGCGAAGCCCTATCAAACGCTATGCAGTTAGGGTATTTGTTTGTCGTCAACCTAATAAATCCAAGATTAGTCAAAGACACAGAGCTTTGCGCCGCCGATTGTTATTTCCTTGCGGCGAATTAGAAGATTTCATCGTAAGTTACTCATATACGTCCGTCGAGACAATTCGAGTCATAGAAAGATACCACGAAGGAATTCAATCTGCGAGAGTTCAAACAATACTCGACGAGCGAGAAGTAGTGCTATGTGGACAGATCAGGGCCAGCACAGTTATAAACTTGTAGGTTTTGAATAGTTAAAGGTAAACTATACTCGATCAAAACCTACGTGAAACTCCCCTTCGATTCATATTCTTCCAACCTAGAGTTTCCCAAGGACAAACAGTATGAGACCTCCGGGAGCCTTTGCGTATTTAATAGATCAATGATGGTTGTCACCAGCACCAAATCGACCAGCGACGAAAGTGCCAAGGAAGATGCCTCCAAGAACAGACAGAAAATATCCCACGTTCATAGTCATCACTGCCAACATACTGTAAAGGCGATTAGATATGGCGATCAGAAATAAAGGGCGTAAAGGATGACTTACAGTAAGTATCCGATACCTCCGATTACGACCTCGGACAAAGCCCGGAACGTCTCGGTGGCGACCTTGAACGGGTGACTATTCCACCGGCTCCTGAATTGACCGCCCATCAACTCCAAGTCGCTTCTACTACCCGGATACCTGTCCGAATCAGAAGACGAAATAGCTTTGTCGTGACGATGGAGTCCCGGATTTGAGTCGAAGACGATAGATCTCAGCGCGATTAGAATGCGGTGCAGCAGAGCAAGCACGATTAGAAAGACGCAAGTGCCGGCGTAAGAGCCCTGTCCCTGAGGGGTCCACGCGTCTGAATAGAGAGGAGTTGTAACGCTTTGAAAGAATACCATTGCCATCTCCGCCGACGACATCAGTATGGACGACCCGTCCATGTCCATTCCCATATCCATCCCGCTGGTAGATGACGGCATCGAGTTCCCGCTCGTCATCGTCATCGTCATCGTCATCGTACCAGCCGTGGCCGCGGGGGTCGTCATCGTCATGTCGTTATGATCCATTTTGTTTTCCGGAGAGGGAATATAAATACCGTCAATACTCAAACGCCAACGAGAGGAGTATTTCGGAATAAGACTTCAGAGTTAATTAGACGTGAAATTTAACAATATTTAAACTTGAATGGTAACGTAGTCATGTCTATAGTACGGGGTAAGGCAGGCCTATACTGATAGAGCAAATTAACGATCGATATCGGTGGTGTTCCGGAGATGTTTGAGGCTTCAAAAGTACAAACGCTGCTGATACCTTAACTACTGAGGAATCTTCCAATCGAGCGAATAGATACTTGCTCAAGTATCACGACGTATCTATAGGATTCATCTCTAGGCATATGGGGTGATGTGATTAAGTGTTAGCAGTGTTTGGGGATCCGGTGTAATTGCAGGCCAATGCCGGTATGGTTCTGTGCCCCTTCTCGCACGACTTGCCTTCGGTATCACATAATCACATGGTGCCAGAGGCCGCGTCCTCTATTATTAGAGGCTCATAAAGTCATAAAATATTTAGGACCGTGGGTCAGATCTCCTGCGATGATGATGATTGCCTAACTGCTTCTGGAAAGTATGGGATTAAAATCTGCTCAAACTCACTCATCCCGCCCAGGCCCGAGCATGGATTAGCGGGCTGGTCGGTGTTGTTACTATGCCCACGCCCTTTCTCACTTGCAGTGATGTACCTATGACAAGGTCAAGTGGCGCACTACTTGAGTATTAGTTTTTTGACTGGATGGCATTGAAATGACCTGGGTTAGGTATTACACGATCAGCCATCGCCTATATCTTTAACGTTTTCTTGCTGTTGTTTAATATGACAGCTATTATGACAGTTATTGATACGGAAGTAATTGGGTATGCTCTATATCATTCGAAATACTACGGATTATCAAGGGCCATAGATCTGCCGTTTTACACTTGTGGTTTGGCTGCTAAGATAATTGTAACTCAACATCATCCCATTTATACCGAGCCTATAGCGAGCTTATTATTCTTATTGGAATATATTATCTGGATGATATTTACGGCTATTTGGTATCGAATAAGTTCGTCCTCGTCGCATAAACGAGACGGCCTCTGTTGTTAACGAGCAAAGGCTATTACCATCTAAATAGGCAGATAGATTAGTACAGGTAGACAATTTAAACGACAAAAAAAACTTACGAGAATATCTCAGAGTGCAAGTAAACTTCCCGTGCGCTAGACTTCGAGCCCATAATTCGTAACTGGGCGGCTGCTGCCTCGCCCTGCACGGTTTTCAAGACTTCCCGAGGACCACAAGCAACGATGCCAACAGAAAGCCCCGGCTGGCTAGTAGCATCCCTTATGACAGTCGCGATATCCGGGCGCCCAGAGAATACGTTAATAGGTAGACGTCTAACCACCGGAGAAATTCCATTCATCTTCTCGTCAGACAATCCGGGGTCTTTAACCGCGCTGTTGCTTTTAGACTCGAGCCTCCCGGTTTGATATATGGAAATGTGGATGTCGTCGGGTATAATATCGACGCCGTTCTCCTCTAAATATTGTACTATCGCTTCCTCGTACCACCGTGGCAGCTGCGTATCCCTCGTGGCCATGACAACTTGTATCTTGGTGCAAGGCTTCCCATTGCCGGCACGTCGATTCCAAGCCGAACGAAGAAGGCTCTCCAGAACGAACGGCAGCGAGAGGCCGGTGCCGGCGCCGCAAGCGATTACGAGGTTATAATCGTACGTGGATAGAGGTATTCCTTGAACCCCACCGTATGGCCCGTCCAGCAAAACCGGAACGCTGAAACCCGGACGCAACGCAGCAGACTTGGCTAAACGACCTGTGAGTCCACCTCTAGGTTGTACGTAAAATATGAGCTTCGACTGTCCGCTACTCTGTCCTACGACAGGTAAACCGCATATGGTGAAGGGGTGAGCCGTGAAGGAGTGCATTCTCATATGGACGAAACGAAGGAACATATGCTGACCCGGTCGCCACGTCGTATCGATAGGAATCGTCACTTTCAAAGCTAGATCCGAAACCATAGCGAAGCTGGCACGATTGGATACTCCGAATTCGAAATAGGTCCGAATTTGAGAGTAGAAGAAAGAGAGGGTGTAGAGGACTCCGGTCGCGATGAAATAATCCCTAATATGGTGAGATTAGTTAGCTGTTCGTAACGAGCCGACAGACTCGGGTGAACTCACCAGGAACTCAACCGAAAGTCGCAGTGAATAAAGAAGAACACCACAAATACCGCCGCTGCTAAATAATGTGTTAATTTGAAAAACTCGTAGAATCGATCCCTATTTTCTTATGAGCCTCCAACCATTTACCGTTCAGAACGGGAACCTTGCCTGATAAATCGGAGCGAAAAGACTTGTAGATAGGCTTGCGCGATCAATGCGACAACTCCCGTCCAGTATACAACGCTCGTATTCCACACGGTGATCATGTCTCCTTTCCAGATATGAAAGACGACGAACGGAAAGGTATGTATAAGGGCCAGGGCGAACATTGCCCATCCGAGCCAGTTGTGAAATACGATAAGACGCTCGTGAGAAACCCCCGTCAAGGAGGCGATCAGGTTGGATTTAGTCGGAAGGATCATCATGAAAGGTAAACAGGCCAGAGCCATCCAACCGGTTCTAGTCGCGATAGGAGGCGAACCGCCATAATTAAGCGTTCGCGTGTTTGGCCAGTAATACGGCTTTGGACCCAGGGTCATCGCTGCTCAAATACGTATCAGTCTGCAAGTCGAGAAGTTCGTGATTGTCTTCACAACGAAATTGGACTCACACAAGAAGAAAACCGCGCCGGATATCAACAGGAAGACAATCCCTAAAGCCGGAGTATGCCATCGTATTATGGAAATATCGTAGCGGCGATATGATATAAATCGAAAGCTGGCTATCAGCTTCCGCCACCACGTCTTTTTTCTAAGAGACGTAGGAGCAAGTCGCTGGGCGTAAAATCCAACAAAGCAAACGCCAACGACTACTACGAAGAAGCAAACCGTCCCGAGAGCATATACGTGATCTGCGTGGTACCTGAGTCGAAATTAGTCGATCGAAACAAGATTGATGACAATATACTCAATGACAGTATACTCAATGACAGTATACTCAAATACTACAACGTACCAATATCTCCAGTAGCCACCACGATATTCGCATTGCGCTGGCGTAAGCTTGCACGTGTCTTCCCGAGACGAGTGAAGCATTACTGGCTGGTCCAGCCATGGTGTCCCTGACATATGCCCGTGGTCCATATTTCCTATCCGATTTCAAAGCAGATACGTAACTTGGCTTGGACGTCAGGGAAGAAGCAACATGATTGCAAAATAGTTCCTGCAGGCCACTGCGATTTATGTAATAGTACAGTCTTCGTGCCCTGCTCGAGTTCCATCTTGGTGCTGAGGGGCTAGAAAGAGCGAGTAGGCCTACGGAAATGGTTCAAGGTTATCCTAGTTGCATAATGAGCTGGTTCCGCACATAACAGCCAATCAGTACACATGCAATGCAGATATCTGTCTCGTAGACTCCCGCGTCGAGTACATATTGACTCTTGAATCACAACGTAAGGACCTACGGAGGGGTGAACGTAACAGCTACCCTACATCTGCAACGGACCTCTGCAGGGATGTTAGGTGCGGGTACAATTTCGCCCACGTTGCGATGTGTCAAAAAGTCCGGTTTGTGGTAACAACGTGGTAAGGATATATGCTCAGCTGAAAGATGAATAACTTGCTCGTGAGCAGTTTAACACGACTGTCTATCAGTTGGCGGGTAAGGAACGCTAGCAGTTCTAAGCAACGAGGTAAAACCTCCTGATACCCAAGTGTTTCGTCGATATTATGAATCATTCTGTTCTCCTGACATTATAAATCATACCATTCTCGTATAATTTATTCCTAGCTCAACTCTCCATTGGGGGGGGGGGGGGATCTCTTTATACTGGTACATATTTTGTTTCTGCGTCGCAAGCTGGATTTTCAAGTTGTCGCCAATAATAGCCTAGACGAATCATAGAAGCAATAGACCGTACAGAGAAGAATGACCTAAAGTATCGTAACGTTCAGTTTAGCCAAGGTTTCATCGGGAAATATTCAGGAACGAACTCACAGCGAGAAAACCGAGAAGAGGAAACATGTCCTAGCAAGTAGGCAATCTCCGACTATCATCGAATTTAAAGTACCGCAGCTGTCATCTAGGTTCCAAGGTGCTATTATGAGATGGTCTGGGCGTGCGAGGTCGCTAACCTAGAGCATTGTGCGGCAATGCTGTAAATCCAGAAACCCGATAGCATTATATCATTCAGAGTGTTAAACAGACAGGAGTGGGCAGCGGCGGGTTTGAAATAGGCCAGCACAAGCCGGGCTATACACGTACTCGCAGCAAGCACAGAAATCGCCAGGCTAGATTCGCTTTGTCTACTTACCCGGTCAGTTTGAAATAACGTCTTGGAATATTGAGACTTACTGTTGTTGGCGAGATATATAATTCCAGCTGTTTTGACCGCCGACTTCCCACAACGCCTTTCTGAACCTTTCTAGGTATGCAAGGCACATCAACAGCATAGTAGTCAAGACAAGTACTATTTCGGCAGTAAGGGAGATAGCCCGAGTCGGGCTCGCGCAGACAACTGGATGCTTCATATTTCCCCCTCGATTTAAGTAGCTACTATATGCTCACCAAGAGTTAGAAAGGGAGTAAAGAGCTAGCTAACTAAAGAGAAAGATCACAAACTAAGGCTTCCTTTTCGTGTGCTTTACGTATACCAATACACCATATAATGATACCTCTATGGGAGAGTAGGGTTGAGCAGGTTTTACCAAGAGTAATCTTCCAAGAATCGACTGGAGCACAATCGGCCAATGGATCATACGAGTCTATCTCCGCTCAGTCATTCTCTTAGTCGGCAGTTTCTAGATCTACGTGTCTACGAAATAGATCAAAATAATCTGAGAGGTAGGTCATCGATATCCCGATTCTCCATCGAGCAAGTATCGGTATTCCCAGCAATTTACCTCTATACGGACAATTTGGAGATTGTTACTGCAATTCTAGATATCGAATTAGCTGCCTCTTCAGTGCTGTATAAGTTAGATAGGGTATAGGGTATAACAGCGCTTGTATTCTCATGTCTATTACGTGAAAGATTCCAAGGCATTTGCTTGGCCAAATATGTACACAGTTATACTAGAAAGCCCGCCTAAGACACGCCATATTCTAAATGAGGTCCCGGCCAATCTGAACGGCAGGTTCTTCAGCTCTATAATTTCGTTACGTTCAAACGACCTATGGTATTTCACCTGATACCAAAATTGCATAAGGTCTTCGTTCGCGTTTTAGTGCCTCATTTCAGCTAACACCGTCTCCACGTCCAGGCCCATTTCTCGCTGACGGTTGAGTTCTTTCCTCCGCCGAAATACCCGTACGAGGCGGTATCCGGCGAAGTGAAGGCGATGCGGAAATTCACATTCAAAATACCAACATATCCGTCCGATCCGGTACACGGAGACCAGATAACGCTTTCTTTCGGGATGCTCGCGTGGATTGTAATATCTCGAGCGAGGCTCGAATTTGCAGGGTTCGTCACCGTTTGCGTCGTAGAGATCTTAACATAGAATATCGCATTAGTCTCGACATTCCACAGCAAACGAGTCAGGGTTGAGAAGTATGCCGCCTACCGTGTTCGCCGCATCTTGGCTATAGTACGCAACGACATATTGCGTCAACTTCACCTCTGGTTCCAACTCTATGTGGCCCCTAGTCCAAACGTCCTTCAGTGCAACTTGCCAGCCGGGTTCGCCCCCGCCCAGGTTCATGTGAGCTTGGCAATTAACAGACTTCGGTTTGCTCCCGCCGTAAGAAGCCGCGAAGTCCGGGAGGGTAAACGCAAAGTGTTGCCACCCGCCCGAAACCTGCTTCTTCCCGCCGTTTTGCGGGCAGCCGTTGCCGGAGAAGGAGACGGACTGTATAGTCGGTGGTGAGAATGGGGCATCCGAAGCGTCGGGAAACGTCATAAGCTTCTGCGGCGCAGCTGCGGAGCAAGCCGCGAAGAATAAAGCAAATGGACCGGCGAGACGCATATTATCGTCGGATAAACCTTGGGAAGCTACGTTGGTCTTCAAAGGGTCTGTGGTAGGGTCTGTGGTGTCGGCCAAGCGCTGGCTTGCAGTGCCAGAAACTCGCCTTTATATTGACGGAAACTCGAGACATCCGATGTTCTCGTTATTGTTATCATGGTAGGATGGTACCACTAATCGTAATACACAAACGGATAATCGACTTGGTTGATTAGTTTCTATATATGGCATTCCTCCGATCTTCTGGGATTCGAGCTCTAGATCACGACCCCAACGACTTTAGCCATATTAACTACATAAAATCACATTCCGAAAACCTGGTAGAGACCCGCTCGATCTCAGCTATTGGGGTCTAGAATAGGTCAAAATAGAAACAGGGTCTGTCTTATCCTGAATCCCGGTTTCCGGGTAATAACGTATCTAGCCCAAATCGAGTCCGGCGAGATACGATGTCATGCGAGTTATACGTTTGACATCCCTAAAACTAGCTTCAAAGTCCTACGTCGTTCAATGCAACCTTTGCTTTCCGTGTACCATTAATTTTGCAAGTGGCTCGACGCCGAACTACTCCTGTAACTAGAACCAACATTGTGGATGATATCGAAGATGCTGGAGAGGGCGAATAGGAACCAGGAAGATACTGATCAATATAAACTAGGACACTTCAGTCGACTACATTAGCAGACGCAGAATTTCAGACGCAACTGCGCGGATCAATGCCCATAGTTATCATTAGAGCCCTATGACGATATTCCGATTCGCGGGGATAACAGTAGCTTAGCAGAATTGCGCCAAGTAGACACGTTCCAACGAGGCGTCATCACAATTAATATGCATTATATATCGTGGTATTGTACTCGACTTCAACTCGAGTCTTGACAGTAGGTAATTATTAGCTTTCCCAGCCGAAGCCCCGTTACCTTCGTCAAATTCGAAGAGTTCGTTATAATCACACCTAACTCCAATAGTCCGCCATATGCCAACACGGTGAGGCACGCAATATTGGGGTATTATCCAGAATCCGATATAGAATAGTGGCAAAGTAAGGAACATAAACGTCAGGAAAATCCAAGGATTGACGCTCCAGCAATGGATATTCGGAACCCAAATTAGGCATTGCGGATTCGTATCCGCGGAGGTGAATGAATGTTGGCGATACGAGCAGGGATAGGACGGCACAGCGCCGTAACCTATTGCTACCGGTCGAACACTAGAGCGTTTACCATATGGCCTTTCTTCCAGCCCTGGCTCTGCAACGATGCGTTCTCCTTAAGGATTTTGCCCATGTAAGCTACGCGGACGCGTTTTGCGGAAGACAGCTACGTGAGATTGTTAGAAGACACACTCGCGAGATAAAAAAGAACGACTTACCCCGGATTCTTCGGCCACCCTCTTAGCAAAACTTCTCACGCTTTCATCGATACCAACGCTAACGACCACATCTGGTAAATTCTCGCTAAGTCTAGCACGAACTTTCACCGTGTTCTTGATACTAGCAACACCTTTCCCCTTCTCCTCCCTCCGCCGCAAAGCTTCATCTTCGTCCAACTCCTCTTCGCTATCTTCCTCGCCGGCCAACCCGCCGTCACCTTTCCGCCTCGCATCGCCATCGTTCCTCTTCGCGCCGTTTTCTTCGCTCACGTTCACGGGATCGCACACGATCCATTCCGGCAACGCGTAATAATTTCCTAGCGAATCGTACACCCCGTTCGATAAATCGCCTGTGGGTAGGGTGACTTCGGCCGCCTTCAGGATGCTCTGCGCCGTGGCTATCCCGCCCGTCCCGTCGTCGTCTTCCCGCTCGCCGCCAGTCGCGCGAACCAAATCCGCCTCCCACAGAACCTCTAACGCCGCCTTCAAGACCTGCCACACCTCGGCGCGCCCGGTAACTCGCGTATCGAAGAAGTCGGCTCGCTCCGTATCTAATTGGGAACGGGTCCACGACCGATCGCGCGCGACCCACTCGTGTCGTCGCAGGGGCTTGTCTATATGTTGCGACAGCGGCGGCCGACAGCTATGCGTATGGTGGGAATGGGAATGGGAATGGGAATGGGATTGCTGCGGATGAGGCGACTGCGCTGGCTGGTGAGAACGGGAGTCGGCACGCGAAACCGGCGGGCTGTCGTCCGTAGCGGAGGGGTGCAACGGCGGGGAATTGATGGCGCGCGCGGAGGGCGACGCCGCGCTGCCACCCGGATAAGGGGCGTTGGGGCCGGCGGGCCTTGAGAAGCAACAACCCTAAGAAACCAATCGGTTAGCCGAACATCGACACGTCATACGCGCCTCTTAGATTTTCGGGGACTGCGGGACTGCGCGGGGATAGAAGAAGCGCATTTTCAGCGACAGTACCATTGCTTGTGCACTTTTGGGAACTAGTGCCCACTTTGGACAGTGATAAGACACACCGGGCGAAGATGACCGTTTCAACGCATTGTCTATCTTCGTTCTTATTAGCTGCGATGATTCGGACTGGAATTCGAAGGGCGATTCGGGTCTCGATCGTCGGCGGACGCTAGCCTTTCTACGAGGAATAGTTGCTTAAGGATAGGTTGGCTGATTGAGGCTCAGCAATAAATTATGGAGAACGATGAATCGACAAATCGACCGAATTACGAATTGATCCAAGAGATACCGCCAAGAATTTCCCCTTTCCCCGCTAACCTTATTATTAATAGCAACCACGCAGCCACGCTTACATGTCAAATCTCTGTCACATGGAATTCATATTTAATCCATGTCTATCCGCATCCATTCAATCGCACTATTACGATGGATTTGATTTTGTACATAGTAGGTAGGATCTTGATCTTGCAAACGACAGTGACATGTACAGGATGTCTGCATTCTTGTGATATGTAGCCACGTGGTAATCTTGTACTTCTGTGATACCTATCTTGCGAATAACCCGAGCCAGCCATAGTACGACTGCCATACTAGCGAACAGGGTGCTACAAATGGTATAAGGTAGTATAACTTGCCATTCACCTCAAGTATAGGTACCTAAGGCCAACGGTATACTTGGTAGCCCTCGTCATACCTATATCGATCGTCTATGTCGATCGTCACCAGAGGTAACCTCTGCAACCTTTACTTCCGCATAGACAACGCGTCATATCCTTCTGCTTCTCCGGATCCAGAGCGTCGTTGTCCGAATCATCCACTCCATCCACGTAGTCAAACGTTAGCTCTTCGCCCCTCGGTATATCTCTAAGCGCGAACAATGCCAAGTCGTGTAGATGCTTGTCCGCATGGTCCCCAACCCGAGCAAAGATGCGCATGTTGGGCTCGCAAGAGTGGTTGACAAATCTGGTCGGGCCGGACATGAACTCGCCGTCCACTTCTAACGGGGCTCCGCGCAGGCGGTCGTCGTAAGAGTCCGGGTCGGAGAACTTATCGAGCGCGAAGAGGTATACATCCTTACGCTGCGCGATGTGCGACAATGCTCGCCGACGGTTGGCCTCTTCGGCGGTAATGATCTCACCCATATACTTGTCGATAAACTGGCCTCTCTTAATGTCTACGGTGCTCCGCACGCCCCAGCCGCGGTTCTTGGTCCTAAAAATCTGTAACGGGATCTGACGACCTCTCTCCACTACTCGGTTTGGGCAGTACGGACCGCACGCGCAGCTCTCGTGGCATTCGTAGATGGGGTCGCGCGATGCGAGGATCTTGGAACGTAGCCGGCCCGCCCTAGCGCCGTGGCTATGATACGCGTAGACTTTCTTGTGAGGTTTCGCGCCGTAGGTCTCGTAGAGGTCTTCGTCGTCGGAACTATCGTCGTCGACGTCTTGAAGGCAATTGCACGTATCGTATTGGCAGTCCTCCGAATCGACGCACTCGCAACCGGTAAGGAACTCTCTCTTAGTTGGTTCTACACCTTTTCCGAGAACCGAGCTGTCCATGAACCGGAAATCGGGGTCGAGCACGGCATCATCCTCGGTATTAATGATGGTGATGGGGAATCGAGTATGCGTCGCGAACGAACGAATCTGGCAGAAGTGGCAACGGCGCTTCTCGCTTTCTAGCTTTTCGTCTCCCTAAAATTTCGTCCGACCTATTTAGCATGGACATCTCTGCGATAACGTGGGGATTCGACTAACCGCGTCGCCGTGAAAAAAGAAATGAGGCCGCGTATACTCCTCCATCTCGGGCCAGTGCCAAAAGTAGAATTCACCGAAAATCAAGTGCCTTGTGACGATAGCCAGGAGATTCCATGGCTTGGCCCGGCGAAGAGAGCGCACTTTAATTACGATAGGTGTCGTTAGACATGGAACATGGAAATAAGGTGGAACAACGCGACGCGTATAGAATTGCGTTACGAGCGGGTTTGTGGATTTGTTAATTGGTTATTACGATAAGCGATTCGAGTTTATTTAGGTATCCGTGGTTTGACACTCAACGATGTACGTAGGTACTTAAGATTTCGGCTACCTCGAGGTTGAAGATTATTAGTACACCGCCAATGCCCTGACTACCTACTTATCTTAAGTCCCTATAACGGTAGGTGTCGGTAAATAGGTTGATAGCTCGTCCCGTATTACATAGGTAACTTTAATATTCGGCTGCTTGTCAAAACGACCTGGCAAGGTTCAACTACTCAAATACGTACACAAGTAAGCTGTCCGACGGATACCAAATCATACAAAGTCTTAGGTTAGGCCAACGGCTACGCAGGCCGAACCTCAGGCCTTCCAGGACCACCAATTCCCTTCCTTTCGCGATTGCCCGCTGGAACACGCCTGAGATGACCGTATCTCGTCGAGCGTGGCGAGACCGCTGGCGTTAACCGCAAACACTGATGCCTCCTAGGAGATATTATCCAGGCCGACACCATCGTCCGCCCGCGTATCGTAGCAAAGGATTGCCAAACGAAGGCATGGGGCGAGAAAGAGCATAGGAAATTCTGCAAAGCGCTCAGCCGGGAGGATATTAAACTTATGCATTTTCTAAAATACGATACCTACGACGGCTCTATTTCCTTTTAATAAACCGCAGCAGATCGATGCGCAAAGTACTAGGTTAGCTTATTGGTCTCACAGCCCACCTCTAAATGATAAGAACATCAGCTCGGTTTTACAAGTAAACTTGGTGCATACCGCATTTGACGACCTCGTAAGTTATTCAGTATCAAAGTAAAGGCGAAATTTAGGGTTCAGTGTTAAGTATCAGCCCTTTGTGTAATGGCGCGCAGATCGAGGGGGTATCAGCAAGTATGATTGACTTTATCCATCTTCCTTGGGATAGGATAGGGAGATGCCCTCATCATATACGCCTGCTGTCGTTAATATCTTGACGTCTGGTGTTTGACCAAGGTCCCACGGCCGAGGGAGTTCGACCAGAGTAATAATCCCTCCCTTATTCACTACCTCGTATTTCAGAAGCCATCTCGTAGTTGACGCGACGATTGAATAACCTTGTCACTTTAGATACGGTGTATTCGGACGAAGTAATGTGACAAGATTCCAGAGACTGGATCGAAGAGGGATTCACGGTACAGGTACTAAGAGGTAGTCATACTCTTCGCAATCTACGTCTTCAACACCCTACCGACCCTATGTTAATTTCTATTTAAACCTTCTTACCTCCTTCTAGACATCCTGGTTCGTGGTATATCGTATTGGCCATAACCCTTCACGACACCCGGTCTCGAGAAGCTCGTCGATTTCCATCAACCGTCCACCTCGCAATCTGCAAGTGCAACTTTTCAAGAGCTATCTCCTCGAGTTCCTCCGTTGAGTTACGATTCTCTAACCTCGCCGTACTCCTGTCGGGCATTGCGGTACCTGTCCGGCACGATGGGGGACGGCTCTGTGGCATGCGTCATCGCGTCTTCCATCGCCCTCCTAGGCCTCGAAGCAGGTGGATACTCGTACTTTGCCGCGTTTGTCCGCAACGAGCTAACTCCATACTTTGCGGAGCATGGTATGCAGGCACAGTCGAACGATTCCCGTCTAGTGTTCACGTACCTCCTCATCTCGGCCATCTTTCTTTGGTGTTCGGTCTTGAGCATGATGCTGGACCTGTGCCGCGGGACTGGGCGCGACTCGTACGGCCGCGAGCGGTCCGGGCGCGCCTGCGGATCCGGCTTGAAAGTTATTATATACTGCGCCTTCATGCTTGTTCTAATCGTTCTGGCATGCCTAACAGTGCAGCACACCTGCGAATGGTGGCAATACTTCGAGGCGAATAACCTACATCGTTTCGCAAGCGTCTGTCATGGCTTAACGGGAATGATACTTGCGGTTCTCATTCTTACCATGATGGCCCTTGTCACTACGACTTTGTTATATGCCTGCGATTCTGAACGGCTACCCCGGTAATAGGCATATGTCTGGATAACGATGGTCGGCGATTCTTTGGAACTTGCTAGCTATCTGCTAGGTATCGATTTATCCGAGCTACATATCATTCTCATTAGGAGAGGTGTAGAACCTGGGAAGGTAAAGCGTTTGTCCGTGTTTCTATTCCATTAGATGTTCGCTATTCTAATGAATTGACTATATCTTATGCGCTGCTTATGACAATCGGTAAAACCTATATCAAGCAATTATTAGAAGTGCTTGAAATCTATAACTACCTAGACTAGGTACCTATACTGAACATGATGTCGTTAGGGCATAGCATTTATACCTAACGGAATAATACACTCAGGTCCCGGCCCCACTTAGTTCCTAGGTACGGTGGGACAACTTTTTTCTTTATCTTTTATCAGCTTCATTTTTTATCGCCCATGTCGTCATACCGTCACAGCTAAGAGGTAAAAATTGATCGGCAGAATACTTCACGCCAACTTCACTCTCGCAATCGCGTAATATTTCTGTATACCTCCTAGTAGACGCCAAATAAGAAACCCTACAATGGCAGCCGACGAGCGGAACATGCCCTTCATAAAACACCTTGCGTCCAGTGGTTAGTTTTGTTCCCTTAAGCGCGACATAGCATATATGGTTTGGGTCATTCGTACGACGGCACTGGAAGCTGACATTTGAAAAGATCGTAAAATACGAACCTCGGCCCTCGGTACCCTTCGCACATTCCTCACAGCGCCTACCACCGCCCGGAAGTTGACAGACCTCGATTATCTAAAACTATGGAAAGGTCTATTCTATAGCGTATGGATGTGCGATCGGCCCATCCCCCAGCAGAACTTGTGCGCCGATCTCGCCGGCCTCCTAGCCGCCCTTCCTACCCCGAGCGATAACGAGTGCGCCGTAGCGATTCCGTTCCTCCGCGCCTTCTGGGCTACTCTCTCCCGCGAATGGACCGCCATTGACGTTCTGCGCATGGAGAAATATCTGTTGCTGGTGAGGCGTGTATTCGGTGCCAGTCTGGCTTGGGCGGGCGACGGAACGAAAGGAAAGCGGTGGGCCGGTACGCGCGCAGACGGCATGTTTCGACTGCTAGAGGAATGGCCGCTCGAAAAGACGGGCGACCTAGCCAAAGTGCCTGTCGGCTTGCGACTTCACGTGCTAGATATATGGGTCGACGAGGCAGAGAAATTGGAGTTGCTGATGAACGAAGGTGACGAGAGCGCCGGGGACTGCGACACGTTTCTGGACAGGTTACGGACTATCGTCGAGGTGCAGTCCAAGTCTACTTGCCAACCTGTGCGATCTAGAGCCAAGGAATCTCTGTCCGACGAGAGGCTGCCGTGGAATAGAGTTGCCTCGTCGGAGGAAGAGATGGACGTCGACAAGGGCGATGGGGACAGCTGGGACGGATTCGACGACTGAGTCGCAAACTTTGGTTTATCTACTAGGATTTGGAATTCGGGCGTTCGTGCGGGTGGATATATCCAGGGTTAACGCATCGCATCGGGAATCGAACCATTTTGTTCAAGACCGCTAAAGTCCTATATTAATAAACATAGGTAGCTAAGGCGCGAGCACAAGTCGCGCGCGTATTTTCCAAAGACGAATTTATATATCTATTTCTAACGCTGTGGGTATCACATAACCTGCTTGTTGCTCTTTTCCGTACGCTCGCCCCAAGTTTACACGACGGCTTTCTCCCAGCCGGTCGGGCCGGCCGCTTCGTACCTCCCATTCTTCGACAATACGGTGCCTAATCCTTGGTGAATCTCAACTTGGAACGGCTCGAACGGGACGTGCTCGCCGTCGATGCTGATGTAGCCGTCTTCCTGATCGCGAGGCGTGAAACGATAGGCGACGACTTTCCGGTACGATACGTGAGGGTTGTCCAACAACCGACCGTGCTCCACCGACATTAGCAGCTCGAGATACTTGGCCGCAGAGATATCGCCGTCGTTTAATACGACATCCATCATCCCGTCGTTGGGGCACGCCGCCGCGAAGAAGTTCGCATCCGGCGCCATCCACGCCATCTGTCCAGAGTTAGAGACCGAGACGTCCTCCTAAAGAAAAAGTTCGTCTACTCACATTTCCGCAATAGAAATTCCCAAGCTTGTCGTACGAAGCCGTCTCCCAGTCCTCGGGGATCTTGTCGTTTACCGTCCCAAATCTCAACGGCGGCAAACCCTCTCCCGAATCCGTCTCGCTCGAGGTAGATTCGCCCGCCGAGGATGCTTCCCTCGAGACGCCGTCCTCCCTGCGCGTGGTATGGTCGCACCCATCGCGCTCGCGCTTGTAGTGCGCTTTGATATCCGCCTTCTCCGGGATCTCTACTTTCATCGATATGTCGCACGGGTAAAGCTTCTTGCTGAATATCCTCTGCGCGAGGCCGACGTTAAACCGCGCGGCGCCCAACCAACGCAAGTTTTCCGTTCCCAAGTCGCACTCCGCTATAATGCCAACCGACTGGCTCAGAAAACTGAGCATCCGCTTATCCCCCTGCGTAACGCTCATCAGATCCATCGGCGTTCTGACTCCCTTGACGACGGCGAGCGCCGCGAAGCTCGGCCGGTGCGTGCCGTTCAGATTACAGCTCATCGCGTTTCCGCTGCCGCATGGTATATGCGCTATGGCCACCTGCTGCAAGGCTTTACGCGCGTCGGGTCGTTTCCCCAAGCCGTTTATGCACTCGTACGGCAACCCATCGCCCGAGCAAGGGATTACGATGTCGTACGCGTCGATATCGAGCTGCTCGCAGATTCCGACGGCCTCGCCCGAGAACTTCGTCCGCACCACGTCCAGCGACATGCGAGCCGCCTCGAATAGCGGCTTTACGTCGTGCTCCCACGTCTTATCGGCACCTCCGGGTCCCGCATGCGGGTTGACCAATACTTTGGCCCGCTTGCTGCGCTGAGCGGTCCCGTACGCCTGTTCGAGAGCCATACCAACCCACGCGTCTACCACGCCGCGGGCCGTCTCGCCAAGCGCGTAAGACAACTTGACGGCGCGGAGGTGCTTCTTGGATGCCGGGTCCGCGTAGTCGACGACGAGGTGATCGGCGACGACTTCTGCCCAGAGGACATTGTAAAGAGGAATCGAAAATTCGGCAGGAGCACTACCCACGGGGATGCCGCAGAGCTTCTTTCGGTGTCGCCTGGCGTGGTTTTCGTCTGGAACATGGCGAATAAATGTTAGCTTTAGCCAAGCGACTCGCCGGTCGATGATATTAAACACCTTTAACTATTAACGAATTATCTGTTAGGGATAAAGAGACACCCTTGGCGAGGAGTAGAACATCCTTTGCGACTGGCTGAGCTGCGGGAGCTACGGCAACGGGGGTAGCTTCGGCCATCGGAGGATTTATAATGTAGAATTATAGCGAGCGACGAGAAATTTAAAATAAAGTGGAACGAGACAAGAGAATCTATATCGACGCGAGAATCAGTTTACTCCTAACATGACAATTTGGGCTTAGGTGGAATTGCTGGTAACGGTCTTAATACCTAGTAGGCGGCTAGGTTAATGAAAAGGCAAGTTCAGCTAGGTAGTAGATGTCAGGGACCATGCAGACCCCAGGTTTACGGAATCCGCAGCCTGCCGGGATACCGAAGAAATTCAAAGGTTCTCGCCGGTGATTGGACAATTCAATGTCTTCTAAATTACAGTAGCTACCTATTCATACTGTGTGCCACGGAGGACCCTGACGTATTACCTACTCGTATATGTACTTGAACAAGCTCAAGTCTAAGAATACTCGATCTACATAGGTATTAGGTATTGGCAAGATATTGAAAATTGTATGTGTTTGCAAAGACTTAAAATAGTAGGATTATGAAAACATTCCTTTTATACGCTATACATCCTCGGTATCGATTATCAGCTGACTTAAATTTTCGTTTGTCCCGTTCTCCGCGCTGCCATGTTTCTCTCCGCATCTACAATTAAGACGACGTGATGACTTAGCGCGACAACTTCGCCGGTCTCGTCCGCGATGATAACCTCAATGTCCATCCTTCCGTTCTTGATAAGCTTCGCCCGCACGCGTGAGAATAGCCATTCGACACCCTCGGCCGGCAAAGCTTTCTTGACGTCTAAACTTAGGGCTACGGTAGGATACCAGAAGGCCGACGAGCGACCATCTCTCTCCTCCCTACGCCATAAACTATCGACGATGAGCGGGAAGTGATCCGACACGAAGCCTAGACCCTCGTTCGTGAACCTCTCCCCCGATTCAAGGCGCACCCACTGATCGATTAGACCCGGCGCGACGGGGCCGTTCCGCGGAAGAAAGGTCCGCACGCGGTTAGATATCTTGCGGAATTTCGCAAACGGCTTGTCCGTCTGCTCGACCCAGCCGGCGTCCTTGCCACCTTCGAGAAGCGCGGCGAAGCTGGTCGGCGGCGGCGGCGGCGACGGGCATAACGACCAAAAGGTCTCGAGGGACAGCCCGGTTTCGGTAGCCAAGTTCGAGTGCGTAAGATATCCTACGACCTCCTCGCGACCCTCCTGCGACAGGGCGACGTGTATAGTCGACGTCTGGCGGCCGAGCTTGACGTCGCGGACCACCAGGGTAGCCGAGCCCTCCTGCGTTCGGCGTAGAAACTCGACGTGTTGAGATACCGTGTGTGGCTGATTCTGCGCCGCCAGAGTCGTGCGAAAATGAATCGCAGCGACGCGAAGAAAGATTGACGTCACCACGCCGCCGTGGGGTACTATATCGATTAAATCGGAATCACCATCGCCGCGAAGGTGGGGATACTAACCAGAGCCTACGCACCACTCCGAGTCGAAGTTTGCAGAGTACGTGTGAGAATCCAAAGCCCGGACGGCGGTGGCTTCTGAGAATGTCGGCACCATTTCAAGAGAACAGCGCGAAGCGATTCATCTCAGGGGTAAAACGCTAAGGAGGAGATTATGATTTATATGTAAATATCATAGTAAAGAGGTGATACTCAATTATATCAAAAGACGCGTTCACGTATATGTTCATGTACATTATATGTTCATGTACATCCCTTGAGATCATTACACATTCGTGGATATCGCAACCTAAGCTTCAGTGGGTCTAACGTTACAAGCCTCGGTAATTCCCCAGACATCGAATAGGTAGTCGCTGCAGGGGTTGAGAATGCGCTAATACATATATGCGCCTAATATGTAGATTTTAACGTAACACTCCAAAATCCCCGAAATTCGTAGTTCTATCACCACTCCGAAACGACGGATCAGCGTTGGCCATGATTGAATACTTCGACCTCGTCGCCGCAGAAAAGCATACCCGAGAGGTTGCCGTAAGAGTACTCCGACGTCGCTGCAAAGTGCATACAGGATGCCATTGTCCCTAAGTGCTGCCGAACCCGCGGACGCCGCCCGCATCGCCGAGATCCACATGGCCGCTTTCGGCTCCAACGCGATGCTCCTAGCACAGTTCCCCACACCGGCCGTTCGGGACGCTCTAAAGAAGAGCATCGAATTAAAGGCGCTTGCCGACATCGACGACCCGAAAACTACCGTCCTTGTCGTCCGCGATTCAAGCCTAGAACTTGGTAGCAACAGCGCCATATCGACCGACAACGAGCGGACTCGCGGGCGTCGAAAGGAACAAGTCGTGGCGTTCGCAAAGTGGGCGCACCCCGTGCGGCTTGACGAAGACTACGTCGAACCCCCGTGGATCTGGCCAGCAGGAACAAACCTCGTCATTCTTAACGACTGGGCGAAGAAGGCCGAGGCAGCTCAATCACGCGCCTTGGGAAATACGCCGTGTTATCGTAAGTAGCATTCAGCGTACGTACCATCCGTGGTGAGATAGGGATACCGACTGAGCAGCCCTTCAGGACTTACGTTTATGGGGACGGATCCCGCACATCGGAGGCGTGGTGCAGCAACGATGATGGTCCGATGGGGCATGGAGCATTCGAGGAAAGATGGCGCTCCCGCGTATCTGGAGAGTACTCTCGAAGCAGCTTCGTTCTATAGAAACATTGGTTTCGTCGACGTAGATACGATTTCGTTGGAATATAGGGCAGACGGCGCCGAGACGCGCAGCGCTTATGAGGAGGTTAGCTTTTTATACAGGTGACTACTAACCACCGCCTACCTCCGTCCTCAGCACGTAGGTTCTTATACCCGGTCCTAAAGTAGAGTTCGTACGGATATAAATTTCAACCCTCGTTCTGAATCTAATGAGGAACAAAAGATACGGATACTAAAGACATGTGGATCGGACCATTTACTACCTCCCAGGTACCGATGCTCTTAGAAGAGGTGATAGTCGCGCAAATCGTCTTACGAAGCCGCCTAGCTATTACAAACCAATTCCTAGATTCTCAGTATCGATCAATCCGCGATCCTCATACTTGATGGGCCCCATCCTCTACCATTGCAAAATTGCGCAAGTCCTTTGCCGAATCTCTATCGTTGCCGAAACCTGGCCATCTCCATTCCCGGGACACCCCCCTCGTGCCTGAGCCCTCTCGAAAGGCGACAGGAAGCGTAATCGTACGGCGCGGCGGATGAGACAATTTATCCCTCACGACAAGAACTCGCAAGTTGGGGATCGTCTGTGCTATGATACTTACGCACGGCTCGGCCAAGTTATAAACGCATTGGATGCACCTCCCATCTCCGCCGCAGCCGATTAGCAATAAGCCTGACAACCAAAGCGGCCAGAAGTTACTTACAGAAATAAGTAAACGATGCTATCGGGTCCATCCCCGCCATGTTTACGGCCCTCTTAATCGCCATCGCGCCGGCGCTGTTCTAACGGCATCAGCGAGCATCGTCCTCGGCAAATAAGAACACAGAAGATCGAGACATACAGGACGCCAAAGCTCATGGCTAGCGCGACCCCTATCTTCTCCTTTCTCACCATCTGAGTCCTCCATACGATCTTCCAAGGGAAGAAAGCGAGCGCAAAGTCCATGGCCGCCGAATATGCTAGACCGGTCATTTAGCCCTCTAGCTAAGGCGAGGAAACGCGAAGGAAGTTGGTAAACATACCCACCACCGAAAGAGGAACGACCGTCTTAGCAGTAGAGCTCCAACAAGGCCCAGGAATGTACACGTCGTCCCCGCCCTTGGCACCACAAGGCTTATTCCAAGCCGTGACCACGTATAAAACGTACGAGGCGTTGATCGTTACGAGAGCGTACCAGAGGAAATATCGCGCCCGGCCGCTCTCGAGACGTAACAGGGTTAGGGCAAACGAGGACTTGGACCAGGCCGACGCGAGTCCGCAGAATACGGAGCATACGTTGAAGTACGTCATGACCCTATCGTCGCCCGCAATAGAAATCCCGGAGCCCGGGGAGGCGAACGCGCTGATAAAACCGCCAGCAACCGCTGCCATTACCTTACCAGATCACGATTAGCATCCGTTCTTAAGGCCGCTCGTCTAACAGGGACATCTCACCCAAGCACCCACGAGAACAAAGTCATCCCACCTGGAAATCTCATCAGAAACGATCCCACACTTGGTCTGCGATACGCGAGATTTACCATAACGGCCGCCGCCTGGACAGACGACAATAGAGTCTCAGCACGAGGGCTAAGAGAGATACTCCGACCATGAACCAGATACCGATATGCACCGACGTCTCCAGGTTAGCCATGGTCATCAAGCATAGATTTGCCTGACGGAAGTTTTGTCAAACTCGGATAGCTATAGCTTAAGTCTAACAAGAGCCCCGGGATTTAAGATATGCGCAAGGCCGGGGATTAATATATCACTCGCATATTCTATTTCTATTTCTATTCCGTAGTCAGCAGCCAAGTTACCGAAAGGAACGATTGTGCGGTCGTACAACGGCACAGCCGCTGGAAAATCCCGTCGACGCTGAGAGGCCTGATTAGCTGTCCGGAATTACGTAGACTATCGACTATTTCATAGCCATATCAGTACACACCAATCCGCACGTCTTCAAATAATACGTCCGGGCCATATCGCGTCGCCCCAGCCATCGCCCGAACGACGTGGGACTGTGTCCTAGACTGTGTCCTATTTACCTAGCCTGCATAACAACGTCGCATCGGTACAGATTGCGAATTGTCTCACGGCGGGCGTTACCCTCTCGGCCATCTTACGCAACGCGGCGTACGTGCATCGGTAACCCCACGTGAATCTAAAGACCTTTTCAAGCTGGGGTAGCAGTCTTACGCCAAGGCTGCATAAAACTAGTCGCTTTTTGATGATGAGAACGTTTGCGTCTATCGGGTGCTTTATAGTATCTAGCTAACCTAGATAGATACATATAGCGGCGCATTAGTCACTTTTTGAATTGAACGGTCGAGGCCATTAGGCACGGCACTAGTATAAGCAACTCAATTGATCAGGAGCCTTTTGATACATAAGCGAGACGGGAATTCTATACACGTTATCGCCAAAGTATCTGTTCGATGTCGTCAATAGGGAACGAGATGCAGGTGCATATTACGCTTGTATTGAGAAACTGTCAGGACTGCAGATGAGACCTAGGGCAAAGGACATGGTCAATATAGCCAGTCTCCTTTGAAGTTCCTCGAGGAATGACAATGTTGATTCTATGTCGTTCGATTCTACCTCGTGACGATTATGACCTGGAGATGAGAAACATACTATGTTAAGACACTTGAACAATTCGATTCTATTCGGCAACGTACCGTGTCTCACCGGCATCAAATATGGCAGCCGTCCTTAACCACTCATATTAGCATAGGGGGCGTAGCACGTGACATGTTTGACAACGGCCTTGTTTCTAACGTCTCTATTTCCGACGTCTTTAATACTTGGTAACCGGAGTAATCGCATGAGGCGATCTTGGTATCGCGGTATTCCCCGTGCCAAATCTAATGTTTACGTGCCATTTACCATCTTGTTCGCCCCAAGCGCCCCTTCTGGTTTCTTTGATCACCGGTGACTTCTCACAGTTGTAGAATAGGTATCCAGGTATTTCCGAACTCGTCCGATATCAAATCGGATTCAGTATTACTCACCTTAGAAACGAATCACGGATCGAAGGTCTCGACTCACATGATTTCCTTATCTGGGGTTTGCTCTGTGCTTAATAGGTGACGCTTTTCATACACGTCGTAGGAGCTGGAGTTCGCCAAAGTTTCAGGGGACGAACGCGAACGACCAAGATCAAGCTCGTCAAGAAAGTATCCGCGATTTAAGGGAGCTCAATAGTCACGCCCAATACTTTAAGTAGACACGGCAGAATGAAGTCTCGGGTTAATATAAGTAGCTCTCCTAGGAAATGATAATTTGTTCTTTCCAAGTCCAAAAACAGCACCTAAAATTCCAGCTTCTGTATCTTAGGTAGGTACTTAGGTATTTCAAGCACGTCATGAATGACTACAACATAGACATCTACTATCAGTCTCTATCGCAGCTTGACCATTCTACCCTCTTTGCCTCGCCGATGGGTTTTGGCGTTTACCATGCCCTTAACAGTTTCATCGCGTTGGGCTCCGAACCCCGAACAGCTGCGCACAGCCTAGATATTCTCCGGGTGCAAAATCAAGAACCCACCCCAAGACTTTTCCGGCAATTCTGGCGAGCCTTTCTTGAAGTCGTCTGCCAGGTACCATGGTTTGACGGCCGCCAACAAAAACTCGTAGAAATAATTTCGCATTTGATCTCTTTCCCATCCCCTACACAGGTATGCTCTCGTCGACAAATCCATGTTTGTAAACACCTTAAACTGGGACTGATTGGGGTTTTAAGCAGCCAGGACGATCCTTCTGGGCTGACCTACCGGAATTAAAATATGTTGTTCAAGAGCTATGGAGCAGTAAGCTACCTTTGATCCTAACACGCACGAAAACTGATTACCGAGCGTATTAGCACCGGGCAACGGCGGTAACAACGGAGACAAGTATCGAAGATGGGTTAACCTGAACGCATTTATCGCTCGGCTTTACAGCGCAAATATTGTCGAATGGTACGACTTTGGGATCTATTCCGTGCGTCGCGCATCGGAACGCTCCCATTATCCCTCATTCGAGGCCAGGGTATGTCATATGTTTGCTGCCGCGACGTGGATGACTTATTCGGCCCCCAAACTATTCCTCTTGACACAGACTCCCATGACCGACGAAGGCCGAGCCGCATTTGCAAACACGGGGTATGTAGTTTTTGACAACCCGGAGTTCTACGGGACGACCATCATTACCGTGGCTCGCTGGATCCAATGGAAACGTTGGTTTCGCAATAATTCGATAACGGGATGGGACTTGTCTTTTACCGCCTATACGCATATGAATAACGCTGATGGAGGTATAGGCATGGAAGATTTGTATATGCTGAGGCCATTTGACTAAGATCTTGGTGATGTGGAAGACAGATTTACGATGTGCCATCCTCGTATGTCGGGTTATAGGTAGGTTATCTCGGCTTTCCTAGTTGCTGATAGCAGAGCGGAGCCGAGGAGCATAGTTTTACTTGACAGCCTTAATCATAATATATCTTATCCATCCTATAGATTCATGTAAAGGTTTTCCCACGTGTAGCCGCAAACAAATTCGAGGGGGTGCTAAATCACGTAGCAAGATGCGTGCTACGTAAAGGTAATAGTTGGAAGTTTAAAATTACCTATTCGATCTATATCATATACTATAGGTCTAACCATCGGTTGCGACTCGAAGCGTTGAGAATGGGATAATAGTCAACCGGCTGTTCGCGTTTCTGCTTGGATATCCAAATGCATACAGCTCGGTAGAATGTCAAGGCCGAGGACCTAAAAGCCTCAAACCGTAATTCGTTTCTGTAGTCAACTACCGTTCTCAAACCTCGGAAAAGTTGCTGTCCATATTCAGGGACGTTACGTTCGTTATTCATCCTGACCTCGCGTTTCATCCACGTCGAGCCTTAACCTCGGACTATTACTTGCTACGTCCCTAGAATTTATTAGGATCATGTTGAACCAGGAGCTCTCTAGTGAATCGTAAACCAGCCGGTGAATTCGACGCAAGCGAGCTCTGCGTCAGCGACTCTACTCGAGAACTAAGTTTGAATCCAGCTGCCATAATCGGAAGCGTTGGCCCTACCGTGGCTTCCTGAGTAATTGAAAAGATATAGAACCGATCGAAAATGACCCGTGATGTAACAAGCGAAGTTAGTCACGCTGAATCTTTTCCCGACAACGATAGCAATTCGAATTGCTATATAACATGGCACTTCTAGCCGCAATAACCTATTCTGCATCTTACCACAAACAGATCTCCTAGGCACAGCATCTCTTCGACCAAGCAAGCCATGGCTTACCAAGATAACTACGCCGCCGTTCCCGTACCCAGGCTGGTGTTGTACAGCTACACCCATTCAGAGGTCGAACGGGCGATCCTTACTATCATCAACGCGTGCAACGAGCCGCCTTACGGCTCACTAGAAGACGCCGCGATCGCTCTGGATGACCTTAGACCATCAAGAAGACTAGGATCTCATTGGAATCCATCGGAATCGGAGAGGCCATTCCTCCGTGAATTCTGGCCTACTTTTCTCCAGCTCGCTTGCCAGATTCCATGCAGCGACATAACCCAAGATTATCTCGTAACAATAATTAACGAGCTAAGATCACTCCACCGTCCTGACGATGTATGTACTCAAAGTAGTTATCGGATCTCTAGGGTTACAATTAATCATCTTACGAACAGCGTACCGCAAATATCTGGAATAACGCATCAGAGCTCAGCAGAGGCATAAACAGCATCTGGCTCGGCAAGTGATCTCCATCTCACCCCCAGCTCGAGCTTGTTCTCGTGAATTACTAACCAAGTACGAAGAACCTAGAGCCGACGACGATTATCACGTATGCCAGAGATATGTCAACCTGAACGCATTCGTCTCTCGACTGTACAACGACGACCTTGTCGATTGCTACGGCCTAGGTATCAAGGCCATGCGCCGCGTATTCGAGAGTGGCCAATCTCGCAGCGACATGCTCGTGATATGTCGCATCCAAGCTGCCACGCAGTGGATGCTCTATTCGGCCAAAAAACTCTTCGCTTTGATGACTGTCTATCGTCCTGGCCACAGAGACCAGGATACTTACGGAAGCGCACTATTTAGCGGTAACATGGCTTTTTCTTTCGAGCGTTGGATGTATTGGAAGCGCAGCTTTGGGAATCTCTGCGACGCGGAAGGAGATGATGCCGATCTAGCCGTGGCGAGTATGGACCGAGCAGATGGCTTCTGCCTATTGTAAGGCCAAGGTTCTTTGATTCAGCACGTAAAGCGTCGATTTTCATAAAATAATCCGGATATTCTTATCATTACTTTAAGCTGCGCATATTCGAGATACGTATTTGATAACTGCACAGATGTAGTTTGTGATGATGTTTCAGTAATCCTGCCTACATTTCTACGGCTTCCGAGAGGGATTTATAAGTGCGCTCCAGAGGGATGCCATAACCCTCCAAGTACAGACCTTTTGAATCTCTTAATGCTAATCGTGTCGACACTCATCGCCAGTGCCAGATTTTAGATGGTACGACTGTTAGTATAGCCCTAGGCTCCGTATCCAGTCGAGTTCCCCGCGGAGCAGCAAAGTTGTCTCCTAGCTTTTTCGTCCACCTCGTGATACCCGGCGCGCCGACGACGTTTCAATATCTCGAGATTTACCTAAATAGAAAGCCTACGGGTGCCTTACATAAGGGTATACCTGTTCGTTTCACAGCATTATCCAAGTACCTGGTTAATGTGAATAGCTCTGGGATCAGCTCGACTTTGACTCTAGAACCACAATCAAGTACGAGCGCAAGGCAATAAGAGGCTAAGGATATGATATCCGTACGTCGGTAACTCGAGCTGCGGCACTATGAATAAGTCAATTTCAGAAGGATGGATCACCGGGGGTTATAAAGATGGCAATTGCGGCATCACTCGGGTAGCATCAAACGCTTTAGCAGTACCAATCTATTCGCCACTTCTACCATTCGGGATTATTCTGATCCATACCGCAAATCCCTACCGGCTAGTACCGCCTGCTTCCCCGTAGCTCGCATCGGATTATAGCCTGCAGAACACTGTCACATCGCCGCGTCATTAGCCCGAAATCCGTCGAGTTCCCCTCAAACTTACGAAAACGGACCCAGCGAGAAATATTAGCCTAACTGGGAAATCAATCCACCAGACGCTTTCTTCGTCCAGTCGTAATAGTACGCCCACTCGCCACGACGGTCTTTAGTTCCATATCATATTAGCACCGGCTGCCGCATCTCCCCGCCTGAGATAGCCAGCGCTAATACGGGTATCGGCCGGGTTCGACAGACCGAAGTTACCGAGCAGGTTCTCTTTCAGCATACGCATTAATGCACGTCTAGGTATAAGCGGATATCCAGCCGACCACATACGTGATTGATATGTTGGCGATCCGGCTCGTCACTGGGCTATATAGCCGCAGCCGACCTCGTCGATGGCGACTAGAGAAATTGATTCCCCTACCAAAGTACAGAACAACCTAAGGCTACATGTCTAATAGAACCCGTGCCCATACCTTGGTCGATTGAGGCGTCTGATCGGTATTTTCATCTGATAGCTGCTACAATCGGGTTACCATATGCTCGTATAGATAATCGGGAATGCACGATGCTCAATATATCATCTTACACGACGCGTCTCCTAGCTTTCTTGCTACCTAGCATCGCAACCGGAACTTCTATCCGCACCACCAAAGCAGTCGAAAACCTGGTCGTATTCGGCGATAGCTACTCTGACGAAGGTAGATTGGCATACTTCCAGGCTCACAACGGCACGGCTCCGCCGGCGGGTACCGTCATCCCTACGGCGAATGTGACTGCCAGCGGCGGTTATACGTGGCCTCACTTTGCTTCGCAACAGCTCGGCGCTACGACGTATAATTATGCAGGTGAGAGCTGGATACGTTCGTGAAACTATTCAAACACCTGCCGTAGACGCTCGTAACCCAAGATACGCTGCTGATCCGCAACGCAACAGTCAGCGGCGCCGCTTGTTCCAACGAGATAATATACCGCCATCTCGAATCTATAAACGGGCCTTTCCCGTCCGTTATCGACTATGAGATACCCGCATTCCTGGCAGACGCGGAATACGCCTCGGGCGCGGGCAACGGCACCTTCTTCTCGAACAGGAGGCCGGATAACACCGTCTACGCTCTCTGGATAGGTACTAACGATCTGGGGGTCGACGCGTTTCTCACGGACTCTCAGCAATCCGGAACAACCATCTCGAACTTTACCGACTGCATCTGGTCCGCGTTCGACGCCGTATACGCCACGGGAGGCCGACGTTTCGTACTGTTCGACGAAGCACCTCTGGACAAGTCGCCGCTCTACGCTTCGCCCCAGAACGGCGGAGCCGGCGATAATCAGTACTGGCTAAACAAGACAGCCTACAATACCACAGAAGCGGAGCAAAAGATGCTCGAATACACCACCAGCGCGAATAAGATATTCTCGTACGGCGTGCCGTTCCAGCTTCTCGTAGAAGCCAGGTGGCCCGGCGCCTCCTTTAGCATCCTAAACATCCACCAGCTCTTCTCGGACATCTACAGCAACCCCTCGGCGTATCTGGACGCGCCCGCAAACCCTAGCGCGCCGTATCGCGGATGCTCCGTCACGGCGCCAAATAACGTAGTCTGCACGACTTCTGAGAATTCGCCTTCCAGCTTTCTATGGTGAGCGCCCGCGATCAGCTAGAGACGATGTGCTAACTCGCCAAAGGTACGACGAGCTGCACCCGTCGTCGAGAGCAGGTACGTCGTATAATCACGCCGCAAGCCTCACATGTTAATCTTACAGACGAGATCATCGCCGCGGAATTTATAAGCGTGCTCCAACAGACCTCGGAATGGTACGTAACGCGTTTGCAGCGTCTAACCTCTACGATCGTCAAAGCCTAACCGGTTGTAGTAAGTCGAATAGAGTCGTACAAAATCCTCAAATCCGAGCCCCAACCTCGCCGGCCTATTCAGAGGCGTTCCAACGCTGATTAGACTAACTTGCTGCAGATGGAGTTTATTATGATGCTGGGACCTCACTTGTGATACAGGTGGCGCCTTAGGATCATGAGCCGTGCCCGTATCGACTTGGCATATCAACCGTACGGGCGAGGAGGCTTATATGTACAAGGATGAAAGTTTGAATACCGAGCCACGATTTATCCGGCAGACGTTTTAATATCGTGGCTAATGTAAGAGTCGTGACAAAATAAACGTTGCGAGATAAATATAGAGCAGCGCTAGTTGCGCAGGGTCGAAAACCGGGTACATATCCGGGACTACCTAACCTACCCCCTTCTCGACGTTTATTAACAACTTTGCGAATCTTGGTCAGAATCTCCCGAAGAGGCACCATAATTTAAATTGAAAAACAAAAAATTCCGGTCCAGGTCGCACGTCATTCGGCCCAGAATTCGTAAAGATGTTGAAAGTGGCATTTTTAATGGTATATTACATAGATACAGGCATGTCTTTACCAAGTAAATCGGAAAAATCCTGGGACCTATTCTGATCGTTCAGTTATAAAAGTTTTAATACCCCTCTCGGACTCGTACGACTAGTATTCGGAAAGTTATCGGTCATATAGGACTTGAAGTTCCAGGTTTTAAAGGCCACTGAAAGATTCATTGAAACGTTCACCAAAGGCAAAGATCATACTTTCAGCCACATCTGGATCAATACTGATCTGAATCACATGCAGCTGGGTTTGTAATTTTAATTATACCATCTTGTAGAAAAGATGCGAGAAGCGATACGGTTACCCATACTGCTAATATGTCAGATCAGTTCTGTCAGGTGACCTAGATTCCCCACGATTTCAACACGAGCAATCAGATCATCAGCCTCATATCAACGTCTTAATACGTATCAGTCGTGTGACAATTCGTCCAACGCACACCGCACGGTTAATGCTCTATCAAATGGCATACTGGCAATCAGCTGCACACGATAAAGCACTGGTAGAATAGCGTACACCATAAATTTAAAGCTTCAATATCGAAAGTGCCCATGATTTAGGAACTGCAGCCCGCCCTTTATTCGCCGCACATGATTTTCCGTAGCTTCTCTGACGCGGTAAAAGGGTAACAATTCTTAGCATCTACTTGCGGCCATCCGCTGTTTCGGTGCCCGTTACCAAAAGGCATTGTTATCCGGGCTATATTTGAGATCACGTAATACTTTCAGCAATCAACTTACCATTTCAACCTCTAAACATATACAGTCTTTTCGAATACCTTTCCAGCATCTCCTTCTCATACGGTAGAATGGCCCTGGAAATTAGAAAAAGAATGGTCCAGGTTGTATCACGCCAAGTATTTTATTCGATTTACAAGAGGCAGCGAGACCCTAAGACCTTATCAATCTATTTTGTACTAAAGTTGTTCATTCCCACATAATGAAAATGGCCAACATGATGCGACGGGTATCATTTTACAAGCTACTCGATGATATTTCATGTAAACAGGCCATATTCGGAGAGTATGTCCCCATTCGTATATGCTTGGTGTGGTACGTATTTGACTCATTGACTTTTAGATAAGACTCTGATTGTAGGGGCCATTAGATAATTGTCAGATTGACCGCATCATGTGCGACAATCTTTCACCGGGCATACGTACCTAGAAATTGTAACTCGGGTGATACTCCAGCGCGTGTTTCCCTAGGGAAGAGCGTCTTGCGGTAAACATACACTGAAACTATTCACGTCGTCATGTAAAATCTTTACACAGCAACTACAGCACTAGATACAAGTACAACTACAGCAACAGCTGCAATCAGTGCAACTGCAACTGCAACTGCAACTGCAACAGCTGCAACTCCAAAACAACAGCTATCTTTCGGGAAAGTGCCTCTCTTGAGTTGGCAATCAACTTGAAAATTTTCAACCTTTTCTACCCCTCTCAACTTTAATATTTTCAACTCTTAATTCTTCAACTCTGCAACTCTCAACTCTACAACTCAACTCTACAATCCTTCAACTTTCAACTCTTTGATTCCACAACTCTTAACTCTTAACTCTCAACTCTATAATTCTACAACTAATTTAATCTTCATACACCCGAACCACTACAGCTAAACACTACCCCGGAGACAGTCAACAGTGTCTCTTACGTCTTTGGCGGATCTTTCGGGCTTCTCTCATTATTGACTTTGAGGGACCCCACCTGCTGCTCACTCCTCCAGTGGCACTGCGACCAGCTTATAGGAAGGAGGCAGACCCTCGTGGCTTCGGTAGGAAAAAGTCACGAGGGTCAGTTCCGTCGCCACCTGGCCTTGTACAGCAGTCTAGACGCCAAGTTCTAGTAAGTGACGTCTTCCTATTGTGTCGCTTTGTTGATTTATCTAACTCGTTGGCCAGCACGCCCTTTCTCCTACAATATTCCGACACTTATACCTTTAATACCATCCCGCGACCACAAAATTAATTTTGATTATTTCTATTATTACAACTTATTTGAAACCATGTCTAAGGTTACGCGTGGGGTGTTGACGGAGGGAGAGGAGGAGCGTCTCGACCGACTCGAGGCTAACGTTACGAGTCTTCTGCTTGAAGAGAACCGAGAGCCTTTTGTATCCGCCCGGTATTTTAACTGGGCGGTAGACTTATTTGGGTGGATGTTCTTGTGTACGTCAATTCCCCTTCCAATCCGTACATGCTGTTTAACTTACTAATTATTGTTGTAGTGATTTGTCGCTTTTTGTCCGACTAATCAACCAACATGGCCTCTATTCCCTGCGTAACATTTCATACTGCACACCGCTCGGCGCTGTGATTAGGATGGCAGCCATAGCCCATAATAGTGTCAAATTTTATCGTGCCGAAGACACGGATACGGACAAATTTCAGGAGTTCCTACCTGCTCTTATAAAAGGCAGAGCGCACCCTGGGACCATGTGGGTCTCTCTGGGCGTGTATCTGTTATGCGAGAGTATCGGATTTGGAGGAGGAGGGGGCCGCATTAAAGTTCGGCTTGGAACGTATACCGCCCGGTACTGCCGGCTAAACGGAAGCCGAGCTGCAGTCCATCGAAAGCGACATGATGTGGGCGTGGCTACACAGGATATGTCTCGTCAAAGACGCCAAGAAGCCGTCGCAAGAGGGGCAAGTTGTGGATTGCGTTAGCATGAAGGATTTCCGCGCCAAGGTAAAGGAAGAACCTCTACAGGAGGGTCACGTTAGGCAATACTGCAGAAACGTGACTATAGGTGGTGGAGCTTTCTACGCCTTCTACCTGTCTCTGGAGGAGCAAGGAGACGAGACCGTGGCACGAGAGCTGGCTGGACATTGTGATTAAGGCCTTTTGAGCGATGAATCAAGGATAGTTAATACTTGTGTCAGAGATACCCGTTGATTAATGTTATATACAGAGTGAGTGTCTAGGGTAGGTATACCAAGTAGTATATTGTATTGATATAGTAACGCCTGGCCTTCTATCCTCTTTCGAGGGCACTGTTCGCCCCTTATATTATATAGTAGATAGACCCCTGTAGATACCCTTAACCCACTTATACCTTGACAATTTGTTAGATACCTACCTAGGTAACGTAATGAACATGCTTCCAGTCCTCGTAATATATCTCCCGTAGATACCATTGTAGGTTTTAGAGCCAGAGAAGTCTCACCAATCAGGGTTAGGGTTAGGGTTAGGGTTAGGGTTAGGGTTAGGGTTAGGGTTAGGGTTAGGGTTAGGGTTAGGGTTAGGGTTAGGGTTAGGGTTAGGG